GAGAGAGAGAGAGAGAGAGAGAGAGAGAGAGAGAAGAGAGAGAGAGAGAGAGAGAGAGAGAGAGAGAGAGAGAGAGAGAGAGAGAGAGAGAGAGAGAGAGAGAGAGAGAGAGAGAGAGAGAGAGAGAGAGAGAGAGAGAAAATAAGAATTATAATTTTAGTCACAGGGCCAGGTTAAATCAAAGCGAGTAGATCTCCAATTCCTTGGCTCAAGAGCCCTTCCCTTCATGCAGGGAGAGGTAGCAAGAGAAACAGGTACTGGAGGCATAGACAAGAAGGCAGGTGTTGGTGGCACAGATTAAAAGCAATAGGACAGGTAATGGAGGAAGGATACCCACAGTGCCAGGATACCCACAGTGGTAAGATACCCACAGTGCCAGGATACCCACAGTGCCAGGATACGCACAGTGGTAAGATACCCACAGTGCCAGGATACCCACAGTGCCAGGATACCCACAGTACCAGGACACAAACCGTGCAGGATACCCACAGTGCCAGGATACCCACAGTACCAGGATACCCACAGTGCCATGGTACCCACAGTACCAGGATACCCACAGTGCCAGAGTACCCACAGTGCCAGGATGCCAACAGTACCAGGACACCCACCGTGCAGATACCCCCTAGTGCCAGGATACCCACAGTGCCAGGATACACACAGTGCCAGGATACCCACAGTGCCAGGATACCCACAGTACCAGGACACAAACCGTGCCAGGATACCCACAGTACCAGGATACCCACAGTGCCATGGTACCCACAGTACCAGGATACTCACAGTGCCAGGGTACCCACAGTGCCAGGATGCCCACAGTACCAGGATACCCACCATGCAGGATACCCCCTAGTGCCAGGATACCCACAGTGCCAGGATACCCACAGTGCCAAGGTACCCACAGTGCCAGGATACCCATAGTGTCAGGATACCCACAATGCTAGGATACACACAGTGCCGGGATACCCACAGTAGCAGGATACCCATCGTGCCAGGACACCCACAGTGCCAGCATGCCCACAGTGCCAAGATACCCACAGTACCAGAAATCCCACATTGACGGGATACCCACAGTGCCAGGATGCCCACAGTGACAGTATACCCAGTGTCAGAATACCCACAGTGCCAAGATATCCATAGTGCCAGGATATTCACAGTGCCTTCATACCCACAGTGCCAGGATGTCCACAGTACCAAAAAACCCACAGTGCCGAGATACCCACAGTGCGAGGATATCCACAGTGCCGAGATATCCACAGTCGAGGATACCCACAGTGCCAGTATACCCAATGTTAGAATACCCACAGTTCTAGGATACCCACAGTGCCAGGATATCCACAGTGCCAGGATATTCACAATGCCAGCATACCCAAAAACCCTCATCAGGGCCAGCTGCTACCCTCGCTAATGACAATAAACATCCATACAGCTAACTGTACACTTAAAAGTTAATAATAATACACATATCTAAATCTACGAGCATATATATATATATATATATATATATATATATATATAAAATATATATATATATATATATATATATATATATATATGTGTGTGTGTGTGTGTGTGTGTGTGTGTGTGTGTGTCGTACCAAATAGGTAAAACTTGTTATTTTGGCTTAAATATCAACAACGTTCTTCTTGCTGAATAAGGTAAGCGAAAATTTGTGCATGCAATAATTTCGCAAAAAATCATTCTGAACCTAACGAATTTTTTTTTATTTCACTGTGTTCGTTTGTTATTAAATTTTTGTAAACTTATCTAAAATATATTTAGTTGGATTAGGCTATATTAAATTGCGCTTGTTATAATAAGGTTAGGTAAGTTTTCTAAGGTTGCTTTGGTACAAAATTATTAATTTTTACAATAACGTAAATGAAAAAATACATCTTTGAATGTATAAGAGAAAATTTTAGAAAGGACTTAATTTTAAATGAGTTCTTGCTAAATGACCAGTTTTACCTATTCGGCACGACATTTGATATACATACATACATACATACATACATATATATATATATATATATATATATATATATATATAATATATATATATATATAATATATATATATATATATATATATATATATATATATATTATATATATATATATATAAGCTTCTTCACTTATTAGATAACATAACCCACCATATAAATAAAAGAATATTTTAACTATGGCATAAAATCTATTGACTAGAGGAACTAAAAACTGAACAAGGCTGCAGTGATGTATTACAGTGATGTGAAGACGGTGACACAGGCTGCAGAACGACGTATCCATCTATCGTGGAGTTTTATCGTGTCATGATAACGCTCACTACATTTCTCTCTAGGAAGAGCGAAATGTGATGAGCTTTTAGACAGAGACGTGACTTAATAAAGATTTAGAATGATACATGACATGATAAATCTATTGAAAAAGAGAAATATGGCTTAATAAAGCTCTACACAGAGAGAAACATGACTTGATAAAGTTCGAGAAAGAGACACGATAAAGCTCTGGAAAAAATGACTTGAATAAGCTTTAGGAAATATGACTTGATAAAGCCCTAAGAAAGGGCGAAACGTTGACCCAACAGAAGCTTGTTTTGCAGCTCGTGTCATCTAAAATACACTCAAATTTTTCAACATTCAATAAGCTATGTTTCTCCTCTCGTCTCTGGGGATACATAAATCAGTACAGAGCGACGCACCCGTAGGGGTCAGGCAGCGCCTGCAGAATGGGATGTAAACAGGTTTGATTCGAGGGCTGCTCTAATTTCTTTGATCAAGAGCTCTTCGCCGGTATCAAGGAACTGCCTTGAAGGGACAAATATGAGAAATGATCTGAGGTGGAACAGTAATTAGGAGTAATTAGGTTCCCTACATGAAGTAGGGATAACTAGGTCCCCTACATGAAGTAAGGGTATCTAAGTTCCCTACTTGAAGTTGGAATAACTAGGTTCCCTACATGAAGAAGTTGTAAGTAGGTTCCCTCCATGAAGTAAGGGTAATTAGGTCCCCTACATGAATCAGGGGAAATTAGGTTCGTTGCCTACTTAATCAGAATATTCTTTTCATCCCGTACAAGGGTTTTTCATCCAAGAGAATGGAGCTGCCTTCCCCTTCCTTGGGATCAAACCGGTTTATCTTTTATTTCCTAGGTGTTGCATGGCTCCCCGTTACGGGCTTAGCGCTTCCCCATAACAATAGTTGTAACAATTTAATATATATCGGTCTCCAACATTTCCAGTGTGTTCAGCAGACCTCAATGTGCTCAGCAGACCGAAATGTGCTCAGCAGACCGAAATGTGCTCAGCAGACCGCAGCGTGTTAAAGATTTATACTGTCTCAGATTTACTGAATATCATCAAACAATAACAAATTAATAATAATTATATCTTGAAAAATTATTATTAATATATATGACAAAATTATTAATATCGTTAATATAACAAAATTATTTATATTATTAATATATATGACAAAAATTTCAACGACATTCAATGGTTTATTGACTAACTTTTTAACTGGAAAGGTCGGAGACATCACATGAGATTTTCTTGACACCAAATAAAGGTCATCTACGTCATAAAAGTCTGTGATGGTCACATGCAGGTGGAAGACAGTCTGTGATGGTCACATGCAGGTGGAAGACAGTCTGTGATGGTCACATGCAGGTGGAAGACAGTCTGTGATGGTCACATGCAGGTGGAAGAACAGTCTGTGATGGTCACATGCAGGTGGAAACAGTCTGTGATGGTCACATGCAGGTGGAAGACAGTCCTGTGATGGTCACATACAGGTGGAAGACAGTCTGTGATGGTCACATGCAGGTGGAAGACAGTCTGTGATGGTCACATACAGGTGGAAGACAGTCTGTGATGGTCACATACAGGTGGAAGACAGTCTGTGATGGTCACATGCAGGTGGAAGACAGTCTGTGATGGTCACATGCAGGTGGAAGACAGTCTGTGATGGTCACAAGCAGGTGGAAGACAGTCTGTGATGGTCCACATACAGGTGGAAGACAGTCTGTGATGGTCACAATACAGGTGGAAGACAGTCTGTGATGGTCACATGCAGGTGGAAGACAGTCTGTGATGGTCACATACAGGTGGAAGGACAGTCTGTGATGGTCACAAGCAGGTGGAAGACCAGTCTGTGATGGTCACAAGCAGTGTGAAGACAGTTTGTGATGGTCACATGCAGGTGGAAGACAGTCTGTGATGGTCACATGCAGGTGGAAGACAGTCTGTGATGGTCACAAGCAGGTGGAAGACAGTCTGTGATGGTCACATACAGGTGGAAGACAGTCTGTGATGGTCACATGCAGGTGGAAGACAGTTTGTGATGGTCACATGCAGGTGGAAGACAGTCTCTGATGGTCACAAGCAGGTGGAAGACAGTCTGTGATGGTCACAAGCAGGTGGAAGACAGTCTGTGATGGTCACATACAGGTGGAAGACAGTTGTGATGGTCACATGCAGGTGGAAGACAGTCTGTGATGGTCACATGCAGGTGGAAGACAGTCTGTGATGGTCACATGCAGGTGGAAGACAGTCTGTGATGGTCACATGCAGGTGGAAGACAGTCTGTGATGGTCACATACGGGTGGAAGACAGTCTGTGACGGTCACATACAGGTGGAAGACAGTCTCTGATGGTCACATGCGTCACACATAACGTTAGCACTTGCAACAGAAAACAAGCTAATATTAACTATTCACAGGACAGCAGCAAGACCTACAATATTATTTCAGTAGCTAAAATTAGTGTGTCTAATTACATAACATTACACACACACACACACACACACACACACATATATATATATATATATAATATATATATATATATATATATATATATATATATATATATATATATATATATATATATAATATATATATATATATATATATATATATATATATATATATAATATATATATATATATATATATATATATATATATATATATATATATATATATATATATATATATATATAAAGTCGCGTTTCTTCAGCTAAATTAAATTAGATATGAAATACTTAATCCTTCAGTGGAGGCACTACCTGGACCAAAGTCTGCTATACTTGGTAATGGCAGTTGTGTCATGCTAGATATTTATAAGTTATCCCCACCTGTGTTTTGTGTCTTGCTAGATGTTAAGAACACAGCTCCATCTATAGATGCTGTCTTACTAGAATACATCTCCTGTGGGGGCTGTTTTATAGGATACTTAGAACACCTTTCTACCATGGGATGCCATGTCGTTACTAGATGCTTGGAATATGCTTTCACCTGTGAATGATGTATTGTTACTAAATGTCTAGAACACGTGTTACAAGGAAACATCACGAGGCAAGAGCCAGAAGAAATATAAGAGTAACTTTTATATAGTCAAGAGTAACTGAATAATTGACAAACTCTTTTTTTTTTAAGAAGGCAGACTCATTTGTTGCCTTAAATTACCCGGAGTCAAGAGTGTAATTGTAAGTGTTGGTGCAGTGAATAGAGCCGGGTCACCAAGCCAAGCTTATTTCCACTACTAATTTTGTTTTACTGATCGAAGGTGAGAGGATCATGAGCACTAGTGATCAGTGTTTCTATATTATAAGTGTTCATGGAAGAACAAAATATCTATCATTTGTTATGGAGAGTCATATCTTCACGTCGAGTTATGTACATTACGACCATAACAAATGGGCTTACTGGCCCATGCTAGGTCGGGTCTACTCACACCCAACCATTACCACTCTTGTATCCGTCTAACCAGAAGCTAAAAAAAAAACAAAATATGTTTCTGGGCAGCAGATAATCAGTATGAAGATGTTTTCAACCCGTCGAGCACAACCCATTACACTTTGATGAAGACCTTGTCCCTTAGCCATATCAGGATCAAATACTGCATAATAAATCACTCCCTACCCTCTTGACCTTATTAAGCAGGTGACGATTCCTCCTTACATTGACGACCAATACCTAGTGGCCACCTTTGGTATTCATGGTTTGCGATAAGCTGTTAACTAGGAACACAGCCTGGGGTTAAACTAATTGGTCGACATCACCGGAGACTGCTTAGATAAGGTGGGGAATGTTTGTGTTTATTGTCCAACACAAACTATAGCGGTATTTGCAGCAACGAGCTAATCTTTACAGTGATTCGAGGCACTATGAGGCTATTAAATCAGTCATTATTTAGTGGCTATAAAACAGAAATCTTATCAAGAGTCGTAAAAGTGTCAAATTTCGATCTTCAACTCCAGGACTACAAGGTCGAGGGTAAACTGTGAGAGTAGAGGTTGTAAACGCGACAAGAGAGATGGGAATCTCATTTACAGAGCGCAGTCCTAAACTTACCATCACTTCGCGTTGTCACACGTTACAACATTACTCTTAGCCTGAAGTTTCTGTGAAAGTATTACAGAAATAAATAATACAATAAAACATCACTGTCTTAGCTCTCTGGTAAGGCATTTTTTTTTATCAGTGCAGCAAGTTACATAAGAATACCTGTAGTCATATTTTTCACTTTAGCGGGCTGCATTAGAACGCTTGAAGAAAGTATATTCTCATTGCATTAGACCACGTAAGAACTTGTGCAGAACTCTGATGCAATGTATAAAACCCTGTATTTTATCTGCTGGTGTAAATTACTCGATAAGAATGAGCATTAGACTGGCGATATGCAACATCAAAGTGACAGTTTCAGTTTCTCCTTTGGGGATGCGATCCATGTCTCAGCAGGAGCTAGGTATCAATGGTTCGTTACGTCACAAGAGGGAGGTGTTGGTTGTCACTCCAAGTGCGTGGAGGGTCAGATCCCAGCAGGAGGGCCATGGCCTCGGTCTCAGACATGGGTGACAGGTACGAGAACGACTCCAGGTTGTCGTGGTACATGTCAGAAGTCGGAGGATTGCAAAGCAGCGATACGTAGTCGGATTCTTGGTTCACATATGCGGGAGGTTGCTGGATTTTATCTGGGATTGCAGTGTACTGACTAATCTGGGTCTGTTTAGGAGTTTCTCCTAGGATACTTGATAGGATCCAGGAGCAAGTGTCCTGGTGGGCTTTGCCATCGAGGATATCCTGAAGTGATCTGATGTAAGCGGACGCCAGTCTCAGCGTGGTGATTTTGGTCATGTCCGAAGCTGCGCGACTACTACACACCCAGGAAGGCAAGACGCCGCGCAGGCTCTCGAAGGCCGTGTTGATCTGCCGCATGCGATACCTCTCCCTGGCGTTGGCGGTCTTCCTGCGGTACCTGGAGAGCGGCGGCGGCCGTGGTTTGTGTCTCAGGGAGTCCTGGAGACACCACTCACTGTCGGAACGACGCCGGGACTGGAGAGATCGAGGCCTCAGCTGGTACTTGCCACCGGAACCTCCCACAGGATTGGCGTCGCACCTGATGGCGTCGTTGCACCCAGGGGCGGCACCGTTACATCTAATAGTAGCATCGACACACCTACTAGTGGCGCCACAACTGGAGGTATCACACCTAGCGGTGGCGCTTA